GATTTTATCGTTCTGAATGAGTAAGTTTTCTTGATAATGATACGGTGTCTAGAACTTCTAAGTGCAAGTTTTTAGATGCAACAGAAACACTCAGTAAGTGGCACGCCTGAGGTTCTGTGAGTTAGACACCTTTTGTCATTTTAGACTACTTACTCACTGACCAGTAATGCAAGGGCAAAGTGTGCAGCAATGCCATTTGTCCCAATTGCAAATCCTAAGCTACAAAATTGAACACGGTAAAAGTAAAAAGTTACCGAAAGTTAATTTGTTGAAAAGATCGTTACAAGATAACAAGATTCTAGTGCAGCTGGAGACTGGAACAGCGCGATATTTATTCGTGCCTTGTCCACTCTGGGTGTTCTTGAAGCTGACGCTGGCTAATTTCCGAGTCTTCGTCGTATTCTAAAAAAGAATAATGTGTAACGGTTATTAGTATGAGAAGCAAAACGCGCAACATGGGATAAAACAAATATCATTATTGTTGAAGCTCGTTAAATTTTATAACCTTTTAATGGCCTTGTTCACTGTTTAGTTCTCTGTAACTCAATCGTTGAGAGTTCGTCTGCGAATTCTGAGTTCTGTTTTTATTTTCTTGGAGGTCTCAGATTTTTTCTTTGTTCCTTTTTTTCTCGCGCTCTTGAAAAACCGATTGACATCTTAACTCGAGCATTTAACAACTACTCACTGAAGTGGAGGTGGCTAGTGGTGGCTATTATTGATATTCATTAGAATAAAGTCTAACCAATAAAGAAAGAAATAAACAATGCAGACATGATAGTTGGCAGTTTATCCGTTTCTTTTTTTACAGCAAGATTATAACAGTTCAGCAGCTGTTCACCTGATGATGCTGCAGAGAAGAGTTTGAGTCTTCTTAGAGTGTCTGCAATGTCTTCCACCTTCTCTTTCCTTTCTACGTCAACAGTAGCGTTGTTTGCACGACAGTAATTTATAAAACTAGGAAAAAAGGAGTTTATGTAAGATTTGCTCCCGCAGCACAGAGCACAGAACCAACACAGTTAAAAAAATTGCAAAGGTCATTAGTGACTGATATTCACAAAGCTGTATCTGGCTCATTCATTTACTACGATTTTATTTTCTCAAAGTTGTTATCAATGCAATCTGTTCCACTCACGTTTTCCAGTTCTCGTCCAGGCAGAGCATGTCCGGGTTCCCTATCAGAATCAAGAGAGCCTGGGCACGAGTTATGGCCACGTTGAATCTCTGAGGAAAAAGGGTAAAATATTACTTATGAAATATCCCTCACATTTGCTGGAGGGTTGTGGGATACCTGAGTTTCTCACAAATGATTTATGAACTACCCTTTCGTCAACCTCCAAGCTTCTTAGAGTATGACACATTTTCATTTCTGGTTAGGGAATATTCCAAAATGATAAACCCTCAGGACTGGATGGCAAACGGAAATGTATCATAATCGTAAACGTGGGTTTAACAAGCCGTTTCTTATTCTCCAAAAGAGCTTTTAACCGCAGCGGCTATAACAATGAAGCCAGTTCATAATTTCTCCCATTTACAATATACAAAACTCCAGCCCCTGTAGATGACGGGAAGTCAGTACCAAACGATTAATAGAGATTCTACCTTGGGATTGTTAAGGAATCCGAGGTGGAAGTCCTTGTCCACCTCCAGATATTCTTTCTTGGTGCTTCTAACTGTTGACAAGATGATTACTCTTCTTTCTTGCCCCTGAAACTCTTCCACGCTGCCAACTTTGATCTCGCCACTAAAGCGTTTTTTTTCGATCATTTTCTGGATCATTTTCTGGATCTTTTGCACCTTGCCATGGGATAAGAATTCCGATTAGTAAGAACGATTCAGAGTATTTCACCCAGTT